GATGCACAGCTTGTGATGATAAGACATCAGTCGCAGCAAATTTTGAAGTCGAGCTGATAATTAGTTTCTGAAATATGAGGGATCAGAGAAGCCATTAAACGTTCCAATACGTAACAAAATTGAGCAAAATTCATTTGAAATAGAAATAATAGAAATATAATTTGAAACAACCAGTCATTACAATGTAATTTATGATCTTTATTTGAAAAAATAACTTGGGATAAGTAACTTTATACCGATTCGTTGAAATGAAATAATAAATAATCCCAAATTTGTACAATAGAACTAACTTGAGAAATTAAATGTCGAGTAAAATGATGTTATTTATATAATCATTTTTCAAATATTTTGTTCATATCTAAACCCAGTATGTAGTTTTCGATATACTTAATTCTATATTGGTCAAATTATATAATTTAAAAAATTATTCTTAAGAATTTTTATTACTAATGACGAATATGAAATTACATTTAAAATATCCCATTCAATGTGGGACCAATAAATATTAGACTGCAATTATGAATTTTGAAATTCAAACTCTTAAGAATAATTTCTTAAATTATCTGACCAACCGATATGGACTATTTTGACTCCTTTCATTTCAAAAATTAATCGTCAGCGTAACTTTTAAAATTTTTTGTGATTGATGTCTCATCATAAACTGTCATTTGATACTAGATCGAGGGACCAAAAGCGATTTTCTCGACCATTTTTTATTATTTCTATTGTATTCCAGATATGAGCTTGGATAATTCACGAAAAACTTGACTAAAAAAAGATGTAATAAATATACGCGGAATTTTCGACGTCTTAAAGGCAAGAAATGCATTCGAGCGCCTGTCACAGAATGATACACGGTTGACTATAGTTAAGAAGCCCTGAGTTTACTTTGACTTCATATGGCTTCAGTCGATGCATCGATTTGCATGACAATCAATAACGGCTAGTATGGCGCACGAACCAAATACTTTTACTAGGAGATAACAGACCACATGATTCACGAAATGCAGGAAACGTGTATCATCCATCGAACAATGAGATCGGGAGAGTAAAACTCCGGGTAAACGGTACAAAATGTTTTCAGCTACCAAATCCTCCATCGAATACGTATGTAATCGTATCAATCCTTTGTTCGCAATCGAACGAATGTCCTTTTTAAGTCTTCAAAAAAAAAAAAAAAAAAACATTGCGATGGCAAAGTAATTGTAAAATTTATATTCGAAATTTGGAGAAAAACTAAAATTTTCGAACGACAAAGAAAAAGAAAATCTTACAAGCTTCTTCGTTTCGTACTTTTCTACAATGTAACAAACAGAATGTTAGCAATATCTACTTCGTTCACCAAAACAGAACTAAAAACAACTACGATATGATCTTTCATGAAGAAGGTAGGATAGAATTCAAATATTTAAAGTCTGCAGCGAACAGCTAACGCCACCTCACGATTCTGTCTAAACACTTTCACCAGCTCGAAAACATCAATACCCCTTATTTTCATTATCAATCGTAACCATTCAAATAATCGCGCGATTCTGCGTGCTCAATGGAGAAAAAGATAACAAGAATCGTGATTTAAATGCAGATGAGTATTATCAACAAAAAAAATTTTTTAATAACAAAAAGTAATTAAATAAATGAGAAATGTGTTTCCATTGCACGAGTTGAATATAGGAAAAATACGTAAATTTCGCGTAACAGTGAATAGTGTAACTACCGATAATCGACGAAAGAAGAGAGAAACAGTTGACCGACTTACCTTGAGGAAAAGCGGCCAGCCCGTGCTCCAACGGATGTGGATGTGGATGACCATGCGTGGTAAGAGTGAAAGGTGAATGTAACCCCGGATGAGGTGCTCCAGGGTGCGGGTGTGAATGCGGGTGCGGATGAGTGCCAACCCCCATCGCTGGGTGACCATGGGCATGGTACTGAGGAGTCCCAGTCGGGGCGCAAGTAGCCCCCGCCGCCTTCAAGTACCCTGCCATGTAACCCGCGAGGCAAGCCAGCTCACCCGCCACCGCTACACCCTTGTCACGCTCTCTTATATCTTGATGCCCACCCTCTTCCGCCACCCACCAGCTGGTTTCCTCCCGATGACTGTTCTGGTTCAACTGGGAGGATGACTTCGTACTCTCCAACACTTTCTTCGTCGGCTCTTCTGGTACCGACACAATGTCGTTTCTTCCACAGTCGTAACCTTCGTACTCCACCTACAAGTGGACGACATAGTACTGCATCGGAAATACCAATAACTTAAACGTTAAATTTCTATCAGAAATGTCGAAGTGCAAAAAAAAAAAAAAAAAAAAAAAAATAAAAAAAAATTTGCAATACAATGAAACATATTATAGAAGCTATTTTTAGTAAAGATCATTTAAATCTCTAAAAATGTGCAAAGATGTAAAAAATTTCTGTAAGAAATTACGTACTGAAATCACTTCAATCACGCTTTCTTCTTTAATTTCTCGCGATAATAAAAAGCTTTTTACTCGCGTGTTTGCCTTCTGATTTTTCAAGTATGAATGTGAGATACTGATGGTAACGTTTTTCGTTAGGTTAGAATAAGGAAATTAGCATTCTTTTTGTGCCCGGGAAACCACGCTACAGTGAGATTTTCCCTCGCAAACGCGAAAGGAACCGACTTATTCCGAATGCTGAACCGACTATTGTTGCGAATAACGATTTTTTGAGGAATAGACACATCCTTTCTTCAACACGAAAAAGTCATCCTCTTTTTTTTTAATGCAAAAATAAAAATATCAAGATAGTGTATCTCGAATCCTTTTTTTTTTTAAGAATATAACAATGCCACACTAGTCACACTCATCAAAGATCGATTGCAGTTGGACATTCGCACATCTATGTCACAATTTTGAATTGTCACTTGCACTTCACTGTACAAAAATATATTATTCCCACTGCCTATAAAGTAGACTGAACTAATCCAACACAGTTTTCATTTCCATTTGTTAATTATAGTCAAAACTACTCGAAAGTATTTCTTGGCGAGCAGAAAGATCCGACTGAACTGCCAGCAACCCTCGTAGCAACATACCCTAAATAGTTTCGGAGGCCCTACCTCAGTCCCTTTCTAAAAACGGGGGTGGGGATTTCAGAGCGGGCCTGGGTAAAGAGTGGGGACACTTGTATGAATGGCTTCTTATGAAGGCCCTTTTCAGATCTAAGAGAACACGGTAAACCTGCAAAATACCCGAGTGACCAATCTGAGTTTGCAACCCACCTACCAACTGATTTCTTGTATGCAAAACAGTCTATATTATTTCCCTTTCCTGTTTCCCCAGGAAATCGCCAGCGAAACATGGTAAAAGTAAGTACCAATATAATCAACAGGAGAAATTTGAGAAATTTCTGATTGCTCGTATTTTATTATTACATGGAGTAAATGATCAAAGCAATGAATTGTATAAAATGAAGAAAAGAGAGAAACGAGGTAGATAGGCACGACAATGGAATCAACATCAAATAAACGGCGCGTGCTAAACCGGAAGAAAACGAAGGGAAACGGGGTCCATGCTAAAAAGGCGGCTTATCCGAAAAACTTAACTTCCCACTAGACGTTAAACGGCTAAATAAACTTCCAAGTTTTTATCCACGGACAGAGGGAGACACGACGTGTCTGAAAAAGATGGAACGAGGAGAGGAGATGAGAGAAGGATGCACGTTGGTAGGTATGTTTACACGGGGGCATTATGGCGGATAATGTTTGTTATAGGCGTCTATGCTCTAGAGCCAGGAGAGGCGAGACTATCCGACGTTAAAAGGCCAGCCTGGTCGATCCGCTTACGGCGGATGAGGTTCAAATTGAGTGAGAGATAGTGAACTCTAGTGCAACGAGTTGCACGAACATCACACATGTCTTGATGCACATACCATGCATATTTATGTTACAAGTACTTCACAATTTACAACGTATAGCGTAAGAATTTCGTTGATAACCCAATTGAATTACAAAATTACCACGTAAAATATTAATAATTTATAATGTGATTGCGTTGGAAGTGCATGATTTGTTACAAGGAAGAGCAAAACAAAAAGCTTGTTTCTAGATATTACTTCTGAATTACAATAAAAAAAAATAAATATTTGTCGCATTTTACTAAATAAGTAATGATGATTTCTCTCTGAGAAGAAATCGTTAAAATTATTATTTAACAAATAGTGCAGTAAAATTTGTTTGGAGACAAATAGTAGCAAGTGTCAGCTGCGTAGAACAGTCGTACTTTCATTCTCTACCTGCGCCATAGACGTGCTGTGTTCTCATCAAGGAATTAATTTACTTCACGTAGACCTTCTGTTCGTTTCTTACTGCTCCTCAGCATGACAGTATTGCGATTTGCGAAGGACTGACAGTCGGTTGACAGTCCAGAAATATCTCCCTTTGGGAAAACCCTTAAGTGCCTGTTCAACCGCAATTGTTCATTAACATCCTTCTTACTCACCAACGATAAACATAACAGAATGTCGGTGACCGGTCCTAATGAATGCACTTTGTTACTAGCTTTGCATACCTGAGTTCTTCCTGCTAAGTGAGAATATCTCAAATACATGATTCTATCCGTTTCCGTTTTTACTACGAAAAAAGTATCTCTAAATTTGTCAGAATTTATGTTATTTGTTATTTATAACAAGTGGAAACAATTGGAACGTGGAATTCTTAGAAAATTTCAATAACAAAACAATTTAATACCCAAGATTTATTATACTATAACCAATCCTTCTTTGAGTCCAATACAATAAATTGTTTCCGCTTAAACTACTTTCATTGTTCGACAAATGAAGTAGCTAAACAAGTGTATTTGTATATCTAATGGAATAAGATAAATCACACAGGCTCTTAGTTACCTTGTATGTTTATATCGCCAATATTTAGTATAATAATCGATATCGATACTAGCATAAATTCACTTTCGTTTGGTTCAAATCAGATTTAATATTTTTAGATTCTTTTGATAAAATATTACCCACTTTGTATTTTCATGCTCAAGTTGAATGCTCGAAGTGTGTTATATGTTGGCAATACTGGTGCCAATAGTCAATAACTCTCGTCTCAGTTTCTTAACTGATCACTAGAATTTCCTTTTAAAACCACGTAAATACTCTCAATATCTCTGTTTTAAAATGTGACAAGATCTTATCCATAATTATATCTCTCCACAGTCTAATCACCGTAGTTAATTATCAGAGAATACACTTCGCTCTCCTGGTGAATGATAAACAGTCAAATCGATAACTAATTGATACGATACAATAATTTCGATAGATCGCAGCAATCGATATTCCAAGTCCCGCGCAAAAAAAGAGTAATAAAGATGGCCGCCGCGTAATGCAATGTGTTGTACGTTCAATAATTCTCGCGAGATTTTTTACAAGAAAATCGCGTTTCACGTTGCTTGTTCCCGTTTCGAGCGGAACGAACGAAAAGAAGACACGAGCGTTGTTTGAGTGTGCATCAAGGCGTAGATAATCAGAGTCATCGATTCAACGGTCAGTGATCCTCAATGACGCCATGTTATCGTCCTGTCTACAAGGTAAGTGAGCACAGACTACTCGATAATGACAAGATACGACGATAGACCGTAGAAAGGGGCAACATCTTCAATGTTTAGAAATCGAATCGAACGATGAGAACGAACACGACGATGTTAACGATCGAATGACTTTCATTGGCGTTGGCCGCTGTGACGATTATCGTCACCGTTTTATACCTTTCGCCGAAACGGTGCAATCCGAATCGATTCGTAACCTTGATCGTTCTCACAATGGAAAATTGACTGGCCTATGAATAATTGAGTACAGTGTCGGGTATAGCCGAACGATAGGGGAAAGGCGCGACAGAGTGCGACTCGCGCGAGAAAGATAGAAAGCCCGCATGGGCAAGTTTGCGCAAGCCTGGCCGAGCGAAAAGAAGAAGGGTCGACTAGGTAAAAAATCTATATAAAGGTGAAAAGAGGAAAACCGGATGGGATGGTTGGCTTCGGTGGAGTAAAGCGGGAGAGAAGAGAGAGAAAGAGAGAGGCGTGTATCGAGTTTGCGCGTTTTATTCCTCCTCCCTGTGTTCAGGCTCCGCCCTGATGTTTTCCCTCCTCCAGCTTCCCTATTCGCCCTTCGATCCCTCCTGGACCATAAGGGATCGTACTTTGTCGTCACCTCGTATCGAAATTTTAGTCCCTGGATGACGGTTGTCACGTCATGCAGTCGAATCAGTCTTGACGTGATAGGTTTACGTTAGCTTATAAAAGCTAGCCACCCAATCTTTCTTCTTCCTTCGTTTTTCTCCGATGTTTCTCGGTTCCTTTTTCTCTTTCTTTTTTTTCTTCTTTTTCTTTTAAATAAATGTATATCGTTACACGTTGGCACCATCTGTAAACCTTAGGTTTCGTTTTGAAAAGTACAACTTTTTCTTGTGAGTGCAATAAAAAGTTAGATTGCGGTGCTTAAAGTATTCCTTGCGATGAATTCTACCTCGTTTCGGACGTTTTACGACATCGATAATTGTAACCATGATCGTTAAGGAAAGTAAGGGAAATAAAAAAAAAAGACATTAGGGTCTTAATCTTTGCTGCATGCAATGTCTTTGTCCCCCCCTATTTTTAGAAAATTACTGGAATTTCCATACAGGAAATAGCAAGTTGTATGAACAGTAGCTTCAAAAAGTTTTTGTACATTGGGAAAAAAAGATGTGCAATAGCTTCCAAAAATGTTCGTACATTCGATGAATGAATGATATAAATATAATGTTTGTTAATTGTCAGATATTTAACATAAAGTAAATAATTACAATTAATCTTCTACGACTAGATTTTCGTTTATTTATAGAAGAAACAGTTATCAATCGTAGCCATTTATTCATACAATAGAGAAGCATATTTCTGTTTTTCTGTACGCGAATACAATATTTGAAAAACGCGTATAGAAAAACAGGGATATGCTTCGTACAGTCGACAAAATATTTGTTACACATGAAATATCGTAACATTCAGCGATTCCCTCAACTAAAGTAAAATTATAGTAAAAGACCTCGGGTGTATAATACACACAAAAAAAAAAAACAACAAACGTAGGTATTACACGGATTTTTAACTTCTTGATACATGTTTCACTACTTAAATGAAGTAGTACCATTTCAATTTGCATTGAAAATCGTGATACTCGTAACGATAAATTCGACACTTTCCCTCTATCTAATTCGGCACGGACCGAGTGACACTCGTCCGTGGAATTCGGCGCCAAAGTACGACACGGGATTTGGCGCATCGAAGAAATCCGCGTGTTTGTAAACCGGTTGCGGGAACATCATTGGAATTCCAGTGAAAGTAATGATGAAGTGCGTCGCACAGACTACGAATTTTATACATAGAACCTAGACGCAAGTTGCTTTCGGTGCGGTTATAAAAATTGATTGGTAATAGCATTGATAATTATTTGAACCTCCGTGAGTGACATGATCGGTTACCTATTTTATCGCTCGTTGATTCTACGCTTCCGTAAGTCGTGACACTTCAGATCCGACTGTATTATTCTAACATAACGAATCGTGAAAAACAAATTATCGCTGAAATCGAACGGAAAATTGCAAAATCTATGATAATGTAGATGTTAATTTCGTTTCAACGTTTGTTACATCTACGGTACTTCTAAACAATTTTTTCTTTACACACATGTGAAATAAATAATTCAAGTTCTGATCAGTGCTTGATCAAATACGTAAAACTGGCTCCAGAAAGTTCCTGTATACCTGACGAATGATTGTCGATCCGTGAAGTAAAATTGTATGACAAATTTTAAGAGACTAATCGTAAAAGGGAGACTCGTCTGACGTGAACGCAGAATTTGAAAATCGCGTACAGAAAATTAGAAACGTGCTTCCGTTTAAACTGCGTTAACGCACACGTTCAATCCCAGCCTGATCAAGATCGAGATTTCTTGTTGTTGTTGAGAAAAGGCACGAAACTTCACGTTTGACTATATTCAAATACTATATTCAAATTAGAAATTGAACACACGAATCGACTGCACGTGAAATAGAGGCCTGCAATTACAAGCACGTGCGCGTGATCGCATTCTTCACATCGGCACGCCGTCCTAACTCTCGAGGAAGAAAATAAAAAGCGCGAATACCCGCTGATAGCCGGTTCTATGTTTTTTCAGTTGGTCGGTATAAAAAACGCGGCTCCTCTCGGCTTTGTCGTCGTCGTCGTCGTCGTAATACCCGTCGCGGAGACCCAGAATCTCTCTCGCTCCCTTTTATTCCCGTTCTGTTTGGTGCATAGTCAGCTACCTTCCTCTCCCACACGTAGTGTCTTCGCGAGAGGCACGTAAGCGGCGCTAAATAATAAATGATGCGCGTCGGTGCGAGGCCGCACATAGACGGTTCATGGACGGTTCGAGGGGGAGGGCAACAACACACGCGCAGAACGGTTAAATACAGTCGCGTATTTACGACGGCTTGTGGGAAAGAGAGATGGGGACCGATCGGTCGCGTCGGCTCGCGGCTATCCCAGCGGAAGAGTAAAAACCACGAGAGAGGCCACGACAGTGGAAGGGGTCCAGTCTTCCCTCGACGAATTTATAGAGGAGAAATTAGGAGGTTTATAGAAGCTGTGCGCGGTAGCTAACCGTAGATCATCATTAGAGGCCCAACTGGGCTGCTATGTACGGGCACATATATGCCCGTAGCCGGCACATATGTATCTTACACCGACGAAACGCCTTCCACTCCGCTCTTCGTTCCGCCGTTTCAACCATCGTTTCTACCGGACTTGCTTCGCCTTTTCAACTGCGTGTGCCTCGCCGATCAAGCATCACCGTAAAAGGGGGGAGGGAATATTTTTCTCCGATACGCTTCGCCTCGTGGAACCACGACCACCCGATATTTCTCAAATACGTTGTTTGAAAGAAAGAAAGAAAAAAAAAATGTTGAACTCGGTCTAAAACGCGGCTTCGTTACCGAGTATTTTTTCAACGTTAGCCAACACGTCAGTGAATACCACAGGTCGATTTTGTACACGCCTGTTGGGATACGATCCTGGATATTTCCGATGGAAAAATAACAGATGCTATAAATGTATATTTATTATTATTGCTATGGGAAAGTTCCCTACATTAACCCTTACCGAAGGACACGAAGGACCTTAAACGAAGGTATGTCCGACACACTTATTACTGTGTGAAAGTGCTTGAAAACATGGTACCTTCGAACCTTCCAAATTGAAATTAAAATGAAAAATTTAAGCAAGAATTTCTGTGTAATTACTACCCGCTTGTTTGCGAGAAAGGCCTTATTCTTTCAAAACTTCTCGAGTACAAAAGTAAGGGTTAGGAAAATATCTCTAAAACTGCGTGACGTTAATGGATTTGAGCAGGAAAATTTGAGTGCAATTTCAGCATCGTAACTGATATATGAGGGTAATGAAACGGACTGAAACGTCATGTGTTTCAGCTAGCTGCAAGAAGATATTTTCAATACAATCAATGGCGCGATGTAGGAAACTGATTTCTTAACTTGAAACACAATTTTGGTCTATTAAATGGGACCGTGTCTGTTTTCCATTATTTTAAAGAAGAACTTTCACTCAAAAAACAAACGCGATTTTTAAGTTATTGCTACTCGTAAAAATATCGCAGAAAGAAAGAGTGTTTGATCGATTACGAAAATCTTATTTACTGATCCGTTACTTTTTCGATTTATGTCACTGTCTTCGCAAAGATACGATATGGATTGTAGAATTGTACTAAAAGATGTCCCATAAGTTAATTTATATTTAGAAAGTGTGAACGTTCGAAAGAGAATTCGCTTTTCCAAGAAGCATATACCTATCACTTTCATAAAAAAAATCGCGAGAGTTTTTACAAAAGTTTAACAAAAGTGCATGGAAAGTTCAAACGCAGAGACTTCGAGTCCATTAAACTTTCGCAGCCTTAAACATTTCTTATTAACCAGTTGTTAATTAATAATTAGGTATACAACTGTATACCTAAATCGTTTAATTTTTAGATTTTGGTAAAGCAAGTGAAAGGTTGACAATACGCAAAATCATCATTTGTGGATCTTTAATACGAGATCTTTAATCTCTGATTACAGATTCGGATCTGAGAAATATTACAATATAATACAATAAATTATAACAAAGATACATCGTTACATGGTTGCACATAAATCCCCCGAACATGGCCTTTACACGCATGAGAACTTTCGCTTCGTCTTAATTCCGTCGGAGACGAGTTTGGCTACTGTATAGAAATTGATTAGAGAAGAGGATAACAGAGCCTGATTAGGTGCGGACGCTCTCAAGTAGAATTATAATTAGTATCGTGCAAAATATAATAGTCGACATTCTATCGAAAGCGATCTTTCTAACGCTAGTTTTCGTACTGATGAATATGGACCACGCCTTCAAAACGCCTATCGAATCTTAAGATTCTTGCCATCAAATGTTTCGCTGTCCGTATAATTGGAGAAAGAAAGTGTTCCAATAACGTTCGATTCCAAATATCGCTGAAATTCTTTTAAACCTCCATCTGGAGGTGTAACTTAAAAATTATATACTTATATATCCGCGTATACGCATTCTGGAAATTTACACACGTTGCAAATCGAGGCAGAGTGAGAATTCTAGGGCTTAAAACAAGATGAAAATCAAAAACGGCGAAATCGTTCTCCAAAAAATATATCTGAAAATCGATCGAGTTCTCGTGCATCTAACTAATGATCGATGCTGTGGATTTCAATACAGATTTCAATACAGACAGTTATCGTGATATTTTTCCACACGATACGATTTCTTGCTGATTTACTCACGAGTTATTGAGATTAGTAACTTGACAAGAATAATTAATAAATGACAAGTTAAATGTAATCAGCAATGAATAATTAAAATAAAATATTATTCACAGCTTTCGAAGAAATAAAATTCCAAGCCTAACATTTTTTCTGCTACTGTATTTCACGAATATACATAAAAATGAGTTATTTACAACTAGGGTTTGTCATGCAATTTTATGATGTTACCTGAACAGAAATTTATTTTGTCCACTAAATTACTATTTTGAATGTTTTACCTAGATACATATTTTATGACTCTGTCTTTAAATTTTAATTTAAATTTCTTATAAATGCATAAAAATCCGTATATATATGGTGAATGTTCGATTTTACATCTATATAAGCAACTCGAAGAGTGTAATGTAAGGGAAGGAAAAGTTGAAATAAAATTGCTTTTATTAGTATAACTATTAAACCTTTAGATAGGACACTTTCGTAGAAATGAAAATTGAGAATTTTCCACTTGGTAAAACTTTCAAAAGATCAGTTGTATTTCGCAAGAAAGACCGTAAGTAGCATGATCAATTTGTGTAACACGCATGTTATATATACACACCATAAATACTAAAGATTAACTAATAATTTTTTTCTTCTACTACCCCTGGCAAATTCAAATATTAATATCAATCAATACCAATTAATAAAATTAATTAATCCGTGAATACAACAGTAATGTTTTGCGAATATTTTCGAACATTTTGCGTTCTAAACGGAATAGTAGAAGGAAAAGATTTTCTTAATTAATTAATCCTTGCTACCGCGACGTGACACCCGTGTTACGCAGAATAAAAACACGGAGGATTCACAAGTAAATGAAATCCTCCAGATTTCCATTTGAGTTTCAAACGTAATTTCTACGTTGGAGGGTTCTCGTACCTAACATTCGACCCCGCAATTTAATAGAAAGTTCGTTCTGTCCAAGTACAGTCGAAGGGAATCTTAATACTCGGGGCGATGCTCAAGCAAAGAGAACAGGTTGCAGTTCGTTGCGTTCGCCACGGAAAACCGATGGTTTTGTGTCGACTGTGCATACGTATAACACATACCTGTACCTGGCTGGCGGTCCGAGGACGGTTTGCCGCAGAAACAGTTAAATCTCTCGTGGTGGTAGCAAACACCATCAGTGCTAAGCCACAAATCCTGGCTTAACCCGAGCCTATGAATTGAATTGGTTAAAGCCCGCGTTAAACTAGGTTCTCTTCTGCGCGCAGTCAGCAAGAAGAGCCGGCCACTCTCTTTCTTTTGCTGCGGTTCTTCCTCGTTTTCTCCGTGTTTGTTCGTCACCGCGGTTCGTCTCCGACAGTTCCCAGTATCGTCTACTTTGCCAATCTCTGCAAGGGCAAGCCCTTTCGAGCAACACCTAATTGGCAAAACGAAGAGATTCCTCGGAGATCTCGCTCGGATTAACGCGACTGCCGTGTACACACCTATTTGCCTCCAAATAGACGACAAAAATATTGTCCCAACCAGAATGAACGCATCACCCGTCAATAAGGGTTGAAGCTACTCGTTGACAATCCTTTAAGTATCGCTTTTTTTTTTTT